TGTCTAGTTAAAATATTCTTGTGCCTGGATGTTTTCATAGTAATTCCTACACAAGTTGAGCAAAAGCTGTGAATGTTAAAACAAACCCTGACACTGTCTAATACTTTGTAAATTTTATATATATAGTGGATAAAGAAATGTATTTTCTAAGTTTTGGAGGCCAGAAATCTGAAATCAAGATCTCAGCAGAGCTATGCTTCTGAAACCTGTAGGGAGAATTCTTTCTTCTTCCTAACTTCTGGTGGTTTTCTAGCGATCTTGGATGACCCTTGGCTTGTAACTACAGCACTTCAGTCTCTGCCTCAATTGTCACTTGGTCTTTTCCCTGTGTGCCTGTGTCTTCCTATGGCTGTCTTCCTCTCTTATAAGGACACCAGTCATATTAGGTAAGGACCCACCCTACCTAATGACCTGATCTTAAGTTAACTGTGTAAAAACCATATTTCCAAATAAAGTCACATTACAGGTATCTTCAGGAGGAGACACATTTCATCCAATGATAATGGCTTTCTTAAATGCATACAAGAATAATATAAATCTATGTTAACAGGCATACAACATATGAAGGTGTAATATGTGATAATAACAACATAAAGGGGGAGGGATACACAGCTGTAGAGGGGCAGAAATGTTGCAAATTATAGAAGTTAAGTTGGTATTTATTCAAACTAGTTTTTTTATAAATTTGATATTAATTGTAACCCCCAGCATAACCATTAAGAAAAATAACTAAAGGGCTTCCCTGGTGGCACAGTGGTTGAGGGTCCGCCTGCCGAGGCAGGGGACATGGGTTCATGCCCCGGTCCAGGAAGATCCCACATGCCACGGAGTGGCTAGGCCCGTGAGCCATGGCTGCTGAGCCTGCGCGTCCAGAGCCTGTGCTCCGCAACGGGAGAGGCCACAACAGTGAGAGGCCCGCGTACTGCAAAAATAAATAAATAAATAAAAATAACTAAAAACAAACGAAAAAAATAGGAAAGGTAATGAGGAGGGGATCAAAATATTACACTAAAAAATCAAGTAAATACAAAAGAAGAAAATAATGGAGAAAATGAGGAACAAAATTATTAAAGAAGTATAGAAAACAAATAGTGAAGTGACAGTAGGAGGTTCTTCATTATTAGTAATTGCATTAAATATAAATGGATTAAACTCTCCAACTTAAAAGCAGAGATTGGCAAAATGGATGAAAAAAAAGTGATCCAAATATATGAGACTCACTTTGTATCCAGAAATACAAATCAATTGAGAGTGATATGTTGGCAAAAGATATACCATTCAATTAGTAACCAATAGAGAGCTGGGTTGGCTCTATTAATATCATATAAAAGGACTTTACATCAAAAATTGTTACAGGAGACAATGAAGGATATTATACATCAATAAAAGTGTCAATTCATCAAGAAGATATAACAATTGTAAACACATGTGCATCAAACAACAGAGACCAAAAGTATATGAAGCAAACATTGAGAGAATTGAAGAGACAAATAGATAATTCAATATTGAAGTATTCAACTATTATTGTTCTTCAACAATGAATTATCCTTCTTTCAAAAATGAATAGAACAACTAGACAAAAGAATAACAAGGAACTAGAGAACTTGGCCACACTGTAAATCAACTAGACCTAACAGATATAAGAACACTTGCTAACAACAGCAAAATAATACATTTTCCTCAAGTTCACATGGAACATTTTCTAAGATACGTCATGTCTTAGGATGTGAAACAAATCTCAATAAATGTAAAAATATTGAAATCACACAAAGTGTATCCCTCAGCCATAATTAAATGAAGTTAGAAATCAGTAACATAAGGAAGTATGGAAATTTCACAAGTATGTGGAAATTAATCAGTAGGGGTCTCAGAAATGTGTGGAAGAAAAAATATGAGAAAATTGTTTGATTTTCCACAGAGATTCTGAGTACTGTAACCAGGATGTGGAAGGATAGCAAAGCAAGTAGAATGGCAGGAAACCTACATTCTGGGTTCTGGAGGGATGTAGAGATTTAAGGATCTGAATCATCCAAGCGTTCTTTTGTTTGTATCTTTGTTTAATTTTTATAGACACAGATGTTTGATTTTGCAATTGGAAAGTGTCCTGATGGAAATTTTTTTGGATGAAGATAGTTCTAGAAAAATTTGTGGTTAGTTTAGTTGATTTCTCATTTCCCATCCAACCTTCAGATTTGCTAGCAGGAGCCATGGAAAAAAAGAGAGGTAGAATAAAACCCAAAACATGAAAGAGTTGGACATTCTGTACCTCATGTAAAATTTGTTTATAAAACCTTTGAAAGAAGTTGAGTTTCTAGTTCTTCTTTCAGAATTAGGGCAACATAACTTAAAAGCAATCATGATGTGTGTTATGATTGATAGTCACAGTGTGGCTATATTTTGCCATCCATGCTACCACATTGATCAGTCATATGTCAAAGTGAACATTGCCACAAATACTATTCTGTGTGAACTTAGTTTCCTTTAAAGAGTGCTCACCAATTAAGCAAAGCCTTAGGTGAAAAATATATCATCTGGAGAAGAGAGTACAGTAAGTCCCCTACATACAAACAAGTTTCCTTCTGAGAGCACATTCATTAAGTCCAATTTGTTCATAAGTCCAACAGAGTTAGCCTAGGTACCCAACTAACACAATCGGCTATATAGTACTGTACTGTAATAGGTTTATAATACTTTTCAAACAAATACATAAAAAACAGACAAAAAATAAAACATTTTTAATCTTACAGTACAGTACCCTGAAAAGTACTGTAGTACAGTACAACAGCTGGCATACAGGGGCTGGCATTGAGTAAACAGGTAAGACGAGTTACTGACTGGAGGAGGGAGAGGCGGTGGGAGACGGTAGAGCTAAAGGATCCTCAGCAATAGGAGACAGAAGGCAAGCTGCAGTTTCACTCATGCCTAACATTGATGGAACACACGTTCGCATCTTTGAAAGTTCACAATTTGAAGGTTCGTATGTAAGGGACTTACTGTAGTTTGAAAATTTAGAAAGAAAAGTGTTTGTTACAAGGCAAGACACCAATAAGATACAATACAAATGAAAAACTAACTTCCATTTCTACTGCTTAGGTAAATTTTAGAGTACTGCCAGATCTCTTTGGATAGTGTACTATAGCAGATTAAACATGAGAGTAAATGTGGCCAGTTATAGTCTTCTCTTCAGCACACAGTTATCTATGAATAAAATATACACATATGCATCTTGAGATGAAGGATCTCTTCCCCTATATCCAGACCTTCAGCTCTTTGAAAAATGAGACTAATAAAACAGAGGTTTTTAAAACAATGTCTTACCATGAATGAAATTATGCTCTTACTAGCTGCTTTAAATCTGTTAACTCTATTATGTAACATTCAGCTAAAAATGGGAGAGATGATTTCATGAAAAACTAGCTAATGTTGTAGCTTTGTAATATTTAGAGGGCTAACACTAACCAAAATCCTAAGTCTATTTTAGAACATATGAAACTAGATTTTGCACCTAGTCATCAGTTCCACAGTACCCCCACTGACTGGAAGGAAAAGACGTACCATTACTTAAAATTGTCAGGTAAAATTCAGAAATATTAATTATTAAAAGCATTCTTCATCCCTTATGGCCGTAAATATAAAATAGGCAATACTAACAAGTCCTGATGCATCTAATGCTACTTATGTAAAAGAAGCAAAAAAATCTGGTTCTCAGCTAGTGTTAAAGCAGTTGACATTAGAATAAATCTAAAGGACAATTTAAATTAGGAGTATGAGGTTTGATTAGCAAATTAAGGTAAATCCATCCTTAATGCACACATGTGGGTGGCTAGGTTATATCTTATCAGATACTCACCTTGTAAGAGATAGTTCTTTTTCTAAAGGTTGGCTATTTACTGGCAAGTGAACTCAGAGGGCCAGATGGCCACAGCCATACCAGATCATTAGACAGTTCCTGTTAAGATTTTGGACAACAATTAACAGAAGCCCAGCAGGAGTTCCCCACTGTTGACCCCTAAAGGGTGGCTATCAGCAGCGTATGTGTTTGTTTATACCAGCAGGTCCTTTTAATTAACAACTCTGAGGTGTGTACTTTTTGGAATTTAGTACAGTGTATTAGGAAAAAGTTCTGACAAGGCCCAGTTTAAAAATATAATTCATATTAAAATCAAAGGGAGGGCTTCCATGGTGGCGCAGTGGTTAAGAATCCGCCGGCCAATGCAGGGGACACGGGTTTGAGCCCTGGTCAGGGAAGCTCCCACATGCCACAGAGCAACTAAGCCCACGTGCCACAACTACTGAAGCCCACGTACCTAGAGCCCATGCTCCACAACAAGAGAAGCCATGGCAATGAGAAGCCTGCACACCGCAAGGAAGAGTAGCCCTCACTCGCTGCAACTCGAGAAAGCCCGAGTGCCGCAACAAAGACCCACTGCAGCCAAAAATAAAATAAATTTTTTAAAAAAAGAGTAATCACATACAAGTAAATAAATAAATAAATAAATAAAATCAAAGGGAGAAGACAACAAAATGTCAAGAGGTCTAGTCACAGTACAGATGGGCCAAATATTTATAGGATCCCAACAAAAAAGTCTTTTAGCTGGCTCCAAGGGTTGCTCCTGTTTTCATTCTCTCGTCCCAGTCATGACAAGTTTATATCACCTAAGATCACAGTACTGCCCTGACACTTGGAGGGCTACTGCAGGTGATGAATCCATATCTCCCTCCTTGCTCCTTGCAGTTAGATTCCTTGTCAACATTGATCCAGGTATCATCATAGCTATCAAGTGGACCTCATCATATATGCACAGCATACTCAAGGCAGTGGAATGCTGAGGATATGACAGGGATCTTAGTTCTTTATCTAAAAGATGGACTTAGTGTAATTAATGCGTTTTTCATGATTGGGAAAAGTATACATATTCAATATTGAAAGATTATGTAATTTTTCTTTCATGGTCTTAACCTAATGTTTGATCTTTAAGCATGTGAGATATGGTTGAAAACTGATACATGAGGAAGTAAAAACACCATCTTCAACAGCAAATTTACTCCTGTGTGAGTCATTGACTTGTGATTGTCATAAACAAGGTGGCCCCATGCCAAGAACTCCATCAATATTGACCACATGAGTTTCTGAAAAGCACTGGACTTACTTTCAAGGTCTCCAGAGGTAAAAATAACCATTAATATTAATGATACAAACACAGTAATATAAGCCAATGTTCTGATTATTCACTTTAATTTATTTCGGAATGTTTGCTTAATTTTATCCTCAATAAAGTAATTTTTATTCTGAAAATACCTCTTTAAATCATATTGGTATCTGAACTTTACTCCATATATCAAACTTTGAGCTTTGAACATGCATCTCATTTCCATATTTTTCAAATTTATTTGGTATCTAATATTTCATTTCATTTTGGCAGTACCTGTGGGAAATGGTCAAAGCAGATATTATTGTCCTTATACGTGAGAAAGAAAGAAAGAGAGTCCTACAAGCCTCACAGCATATTAAGGGATTTCAACCCAGGATCCTGATTCTGTGAGGAATGTTTTCCTCACAGGAGAAGGTGTTGTCTCCTGAGCCTCCGTAGGAAACTGCAGAGCGTCCCAGACATCCAGGATACTTACAGATTTACTTGAGGTACTAATCATTTCCACATTCCTAAATCATGAAGAAGTTGTGTACAATGACTTTTTTAATGTTATAATAATATTGTTAAGATCCCAAAGACATTCTACAGCTCTTCATTGTTACTATGTGAGATAAGTTTTGCAAGATCCAGCTGAAATATTAGATGGATAACATTCCAGTATTGTAATTCAAATGTGCATTTTCAAACTGAATAAGAACCTTACGTGGCTGGCTTTGCTTTGAGATTAAATAACAGTTAATGAATTCAAGGAATAAAACAATAGATGACTGTTTCACATTTGATAACTGGGACCCCAACATTTTTACCACAATAATAGTAAATTTAACTTGATATTATATTTGGGGGAAGATGATAATTTAATGTACCATTAATATAAAATAAAGTAGTATTGAAAAATTTGAATGCTAAAAGGTATAATTTTTGATGATTTTATTTGATACTGAATTTCTGTAAAAATAAAACAATTTTAAATCTTCTCCCTTCTAGTGACCTCACCAAATCACTAACTAAGCTGTAATTACATGAATCATTTATAAAATGCTTCAGTTGAGAAAGAGTATAAGTGATAGGAAGGGAGCAGGTATGCACCATACCGGTGTGTGATACCTAAAGGAAAAGACATGGTTACTTGGGGTGTTACTGTAACTGATTTTATATTTAGATTTTAAATTGCATTTGAGCAAGTCACTATTTTTACGTAAAATGGAATGAATACTAAGACAGTGCCAAGATGTTCTGAACAGAAGCACCCTGTTAACACACCTGCTATATATACCTTACATTCTGCAGAGACTGAACTGTATGTATTATTATATTTAAAAGGAATAGACGTGAAGAATGACACCATAATATATCTATGGCAATTATGTCACACATCACAGTAGACAACTTGAAAATCTTATGAGATTCATTAAAACCATACTTGTATCAGAGAATGATGATAAGACTTCATCTTTTAATCTGTGATTACATTTTAAGTCCATTGCCTTTCGTTTTTGTAGATTGATTAATAATGTTTGCTTGGATAATGAAACATTAAATCGTAGCCAAACACTAAACTAATAAAGTGAGAATACTATTTTATGTATTATAGTACACCAATTTATACCATAGAATCAGAGGCTTTAAATAATGTTAGAAATTTTAGCAGTAATCTAATCAAAGTTGTTTAACATCTCTGGGACTTCCCGTTCTTCATTTTAATTTGGTAACTTAACAAAAAACCTACAACTAATTTTGCTAGAGCAAAAGATGGAATCCAGGCCAAATTACCTGTTCAGTATATTTTCAACCACTATACAGTATGCCCTAAATATTGGGTGACCCATTAATTTGCTCAGGGCCTAGGAATTAGGTAAGTCAAATAGTGCCATTTTACATTTTAAACTTAATGGTAATATAATCCCTTTGCTAGTGATGGGATACTTGAGATGATCTTATATAGAAAGTATCTAGTCAAAAACTCTCAATATATAAAGACAATATATATTTTTGAAAGACAAAATTTTGATAAAATATAATTTTAAGTGGAAGTAAAACTTTGCCAAATAGATTCTGAACTTACTCTTCTTAATAATACTCAATTATGGATTTGTAATTAAATGTATTTATTCAGAAATGGACATGTTCTTTTCAGAATGTAACTTTTCCAGTGTTTTTTATTTCTTACTACCACGTGTGTTAGAACTTTTAAATACAAATACTGTGGTGGGCAAAGTTAAATGGAAACATGGAAATTAGGAAAATACTTTTAAGACTTCTTGCAATTTAAGACTTCTTGCAATTCACCTTCCATAGTCAAAAAGAATTTGCTATACCAAAGTTAGTAATGATGGTGAGATGATGTAACTTCTTTAAATAGTACCATCAGGTATCAATTTTAAAGACCAGAGATGCGCTGAACTTCAGTTGATCAAGTCTATTTTAAGGCCATATGAAGAATAACTAGAAGATAGGAAACTAACTTAATAGCGGCACAGACAAGCCTCAGTTAAACCGAATTTCTCTGGATGCAGTGCATGTATGACCATTATGGGGAAAAGATGTGTTTCACCTCAGCAGAAGTCTTCTGCTTCCAGCAGTAGTGCTCTGCCATAATATTGAGCCATGATATTACTCTGTTTGTTTTTGTTAGCTCTAGTCTTCTGGTCACCATCAAGTGTTTCCATTTCCTCCAAAGTAAAACTGTCTTTTGGGGATGAGCCGTTGATTGGATCAGTCAGTCTCCATCAAGTATTGAATACCTTAGTGAATGCAGATTTTCTGGGGTAGCTTGTAGAGTGATGATTGGCTTGTAGCTGGTGTATTTGGGTAGTTGATTATCTTTCATCCAATCTGTGGCCTGATTCGTACGAAACAAAGCATAGTAACAGGAAGAGGATTTGCTTGCATTCAGTAGCATTTAAAATAGAAGTGATGAAACTTTCAGGTACTGATCTTAAATCACTAACACTGGAACCCACCAAGTGCTAGCTCTCATCATTGTCACCATAATTAAAATTTGATACTGATCATTACTACAGGTCATTTCGATTCAGAGCCTGAAGCGCTCTAATCTATAATAACATACTACTAATAAAAACACCCTTTAAGCAAACTTTATCCACTGGATTAAAGTACTGTTTATGAAATGGATGGTAATTCCTTTTGATTCATGCTTAAATCTGGGGCTCAGTTTACACTTTCCATTTTGTTTCCTTACTAATGAATGTGTTAGCCCAAAGGATGTACCTAGGTCTAAGAATGTATCACAGTCACACTTGCTTCCATTGTTAGAGTTGGCTTCTCTAGTCTTAAATTACAACTCACACTTTTTTCCTACATGAAGCTAGCAGAATTGCACAGGTGCTATGCATTGTGGGACAGTTTGACTGTCATATTTTTCATTTTTGTCTTGGTGAGAGAATGAATGGCACATTATCGTCAGCCCTTCCATTGATTTTTAGCTGAGTATCTAGGCTTCATTGATTGCCAGCATGGCTATTAATTACAGAAGCTGTCAAGTCGATATGGTTTAGGTATTTTGCTGATGACTGCTTTTTGAGTTTTAGCATTCCTTATGCTTAAAAGTCTTGCAGAAAAGATGCTCACCATCACTAATCATTAGAGAAATACAAATCAAAACCACAATGACATATCACTTCACACCAGTCAGAATGGCCATCATCAAAAAATCTAGAAACAATAAATGCTGGAGAGGGTGTGGAGAAAATGGAACCCTCTTGCACTGTTGGTGGGAATGTAAATTGATACAGCCACTGTGGAGAACAGTATGGAGGTTCCTTAAAAAACTAAAAATAGAACTACCATATGACCCAGCAATCCCACTACTGGGCATATACCCTGAGAAAACCATAATTCAAAAAGAGTCATGTACCACAGTGTTCATTGCAGCTCTGTTTACAATAGCCAGGACATAGAAGCAACCTAAATGTCCATCGACAGATGAATGGATATAAACGATGTGGTACATATATACAATGGAATATTACTCAGCCATAAAAAGGAATGAAATTGAGTTGTTTGTAGTGAGGTGGATGGACCTAGAGTCTGTCCTACAGAGTGAAGTAAGTCAGAAAGAGAAAAATAAATACCATATGCTAACGCACATATATGGAATCTAAAAAAATGGTACTGATGAACCTAGTGGCAGGGCAGGAATAAAGATGCAGACATAGAGAATGGACTTGAGGACACGGGGAGGGGGAAGGGCAAGCTGGGACAAAGTGAGAGAGTGGCATGGACATATATACACTACCAAACGTAAAATAGATAGCTAGTGGGAAGCAGCCGCATAGCACAAGGAGATCAGCTCAGTGCTTTGTGACCACCTAGAGGGGTGGGATAGGGAGGGTGAGAGGGAGATGCAAGAGGGAGGAGATATGGAGGTATATGTATATGTATAGCTGATTCACTTTGTTATACAGCAGAAACTAACACACCATTGTAAAGCAATTATACTCCAATAAAGATACTAAAAAAAAAAAAAAGAAAAGTCCTGCAAAAGTAAAGTAAAACACACCGTTTTCTACTAGAATTTTGTTGGAAAAAAATGTGCTATAAATATAGGCAAAACATAAAGTAGAAAACTGAAGTAATTATTTAGATAATATAGGCAAAGAAATGCTGTATCCAAATGATTGAAATACGACTTATGAGTAGATTTTAAACTATTCAGAACATTCATTTTTATTTTATTAACAGCTTATGGAATATTTTATTGTTTTCTTCATTACATGATGGTTAAATGTTACCCAGACTAAATCTGCTAGTGACATCAGTAAAGCTGGTTTTATTTTATAAGGGACTTTACTCAGAAAGAATTGAAAACAATATGTAATCATTGAAATGTACACTAAATTATTCTAATGTGTAAACGTGCATATTACATTTGTTACCTTAGTAAAGTCCAGCCATGTTTTAAAATCAGGAAAAAATAAAATGAAAATTTCTATAATTAACTCATATGGTCAAGTTAGAGGTTTTAATCAATATTAAAAATCTTCAACTTGGAATTTAAGGCATTATCATTGCTGCAAGTAGGAAGTATTTTAGAAATATGTCTACACATAATATAAATAAAATCACTGAAGAATAAGTCAGTTATGGGTTAAATTGTGTCCTCACCAAAATATGTTGAAGTCTTAACCTCCGCTACTTCAGAATGTGTCCTTGTTTGGAAATAGGGTCTTGCAGATGTAATTAATTGCAGTAAGATGAGGTCATACTGGAGTAGAGGGGGTCCCTCATCCAGTACGACTGTGTTCTTATAAGAAGCTGGCCATGTGAAGATGAAGGATTGGAGAGATGCATCTACAAGCCAGGGAATAGGAAAGGTTGCCCGCACACCACCAGAAGGTAGGAAGAGATAAGAAAGGCTTATCCTCTATAGGTTTCAGAGGAAACCTGGCCCTGCTGACACCTTGATTTTGAACCTCTAGCCACTGGAATTGTTAGACAATACGTTTCTGTTGTGCTGAGCCATCCAGTTTGTGGTACTTGTTACAGGAAACCAGTGCAAGTTCCTTCAGAAATGATTAGTAACTCGTATCAAATTGAAGACATTGTGTGGTATTTGGAGGAGGTGCATCGAGAATGGTATCGATGGGTCTAAGTATTTCCTTCCGTCTCGGCTGCACATTGCTGATGATTTAACACTTCTTGTTAATGTCCTGTTACATGTAAGATAAAGTCATATGGACAGCAATATAAAAAAGCCTTTGGGGTTCATGTTGAGACCAAATTACAGGCCCCTCCCTAATAAGTCTTTTGAAAAGAATGTCTTCTTGAACCTTGTTTAGGTCCATCAGTGAGGCTCACCACTTAGAAGAGAAGCCAGTCTTGAAAATAAGCACATTATTATTGACAGTGAAAAGATCAAAAACAAAACAGAGGTAAGAGAGCAGTGACCTGTGTTGGAAAAGACAGGACAACTTACTGAAAAAGATGACTTCTTAGCTAGGCTTTAAGAATGAATACTATTATTCCATGAACAAGGGCCCTCCAGGGGAAAAAAAAAGCTTTGGGAGAAAAATATGGAGCCCTCAGTATTCATCCAGCTGACAATGCTTCAGTCCTCTCTGCACCACTCAAGATTTCAGTCCAGGTTCCAGCTTTATTTCCAGCTTCCACACTCTGTAACATCAAACAAGTTGTAAGTGAATGTAAACTAGCGTCATTTATTAAATCACTGTTTCTCAAATACAAGCGTCTGCAAAAATGAAAAGGAATTGCAAACATTCGGGCCCTTAGGCTGGTCGGCAGCAGTATAACAACAGCTCCTTCTTTAAGATCAGCCAAATGCATAACACGCCCCTTTCCTAAACCTGCCTTCCCTGTGTCCCCAGCCTCACCATCTCAGCATCTTCCCTGTGCTGAGACAGCGCTAATCAATCACAAGTCACTTTCCTGCTGACAAGGGTGCAGCTAACAGTACTCATCTCAGCACTGAGGCAGCCTCTGTCAGTTAATCAGGGGTGATGTGTGAGTGTGTGTTTGTGTGTTAGTATAAAGGGGATGCAGAGGTCTCACAACTGTAGATTCCTTCAGAAGGGGTGAAAGATGGATGGGTAAGGATTTCAATGATGAGAAAAGATAGAAAACGAGAGAAAGAGGGAATTCCCCGGTGGTCCAGTGGTTAGGACTCTGCGCTTTCACTGCCGAGGGCCCGTGTTCAGTCCCTGGTCAGAGAATTAAGAACCCTGAAAGCTTCGCAGCGCTTTCGAGAGAAAGAGTATTTATATGAAGCTGAAAGAAAATACATTTTTAGTCCCTAGAAAATATATACTGTCCAGAAAATGTTTTACGCATTTACAAAAATCTTTTGATAGACTTCATGTAATCCTACAGCAGCTAAACCGTCATGAGCAGATGACACCAGCTTGCTCTCACAAGTGTGTTTAATACAGCATAATTTACGGTTTTCAGTTCCAAAATAAGTACCGTTTATCCATCTGGCACCTCTTCCTCCTTTGTCTCCTCTATCACAGTGTCACCTGTGAGTGGAGTAGCCTCCGGGCGTGAGCCCTCTGGACAGCTGTTCTTCTCTCAATCAGCAAAGATGCTCGTGGTGTGTCAGGCCCATGAGAGCTCGCTGGCAAAACAGAGGTAGTACTGGGTGGGTACCAGTCTGACCTTCTCTAAATCTTTTAATAAGAAACTGTTTGCTCTAGGGGAATATCTGCAGAGAATTAAGTAAATTGAACAAAATGATTATTCTGAGTTGGAAGGTTCCATGAATTCTTTCAGCTGTTTGAGTACAGTCACGGAAAGGCACACATTCTTATCCCTATTTATCTAACTCTAAGCATACAAAGAGAAAACATTTCAACATACGAGGGCAATTGAAGTACAACTAATATGGTAAAGTGCTACCTTTTTTCAGATATTATTTCCTGCACACGGTATTGGCGACCTGATTTCCTGGGCCCAGTGCAAAATAAAAAGGGGGGAGGGCCTCGCTAAAAATTATTAAGAACATCAAGATGGCAACAGCAGAGCATTAAGGCAAGTGTGGGCCCTTCTGAGGTGGGCTTGTGTGGCTGCATAGGTCTTATACCTGTGAAGCCAGCTCCGTCTTCATGGTTTGACTCGCCATATTCTATGTTTATTTTATCACTACTGGACCTAGTATTTTCGTTTACCAATGATCCCTTTTCTTTTTTTACTATATGATAGATGAGCTCGTTTTCCCTTTATTCATAGTCTTACTTGAAAGGGAGAAAACAAATGTCAAATACAGTTTTTAATTTATTTACTATTGACAAATTATCAGTTTCTTCCTAGGCAGAAAGGACATGTAAAATAAGTTTAGATGTTATAAAGCAGAAACTAACACACCATTGTAAAGCAATTATACTCCAATAAAGATGTAAAATAAAATAAAATAAGTGTAGAATTCCATGGATTAAAAAAAAAGAGGACATAAATTATAATTATAAACATTTGACATATTTAATATATAATAATAATATATTAAACAGTAATTCAGAAATGACTTTAAATGACATTTTCTTTCATGTTATTTTTCACTTATTTACCATTCTGATATCATCAGCATTGCTGAACAGAGAAACACTATTCCCAGTTTAAAAAGTATTAAAAACAAAGGATGTAAAATTTCACAAACCAAATGTATTACAATATATCAGTTTTGTGCTGACTGATAATGCAGATATGGACTCTCCTTTACTATTTCATCCTAAAAACCCAATTGCATGCAAACCTATAGATTTCGATTTCTTTATTGAGAGAGAACAATTAATATCCAAATTACTTAAGCTGGTATGCATATGTTATTTTTCTTGCCAAATTTTTGAGCTATATTTTATTAATATGTATCATAAAATTCACCCACTTGAGGTATACAATTCATCGATTTTAGTAACTTTAGTACGTGGTGCAACCATCATCAAAAATCAGTTTTAGAATGCTTTCATCCTTCTAACAACATCCCTCATACCCCTTTACAGTAAATCCCCATTCCCACCCTGAGCCCCAGGCAACCACTAGTCTAATATTTCCTGTCTACAAATTTACCTTTTCTGCACATTTCATGTAAATGAAATCGTACAATATATATTCTTTTTATATGGTTTCTTTTACTTAGCATAATGTTTTTGAGGTTCATCCATGCAGTAGCATATGTCAGTAGTTTGTTTTTTTATTGATGAATATTATTCTAGTGTATAAGTGTATCACATTTTGTCTGTCCATTCCCAGGTGATGAACATTTCTTTCTGGTTTGAGCTATTAAAAATAATACTGCTATGAGCATTCACATGTAAGTCTTTTTTTAAATTTTTTTCAATTGAATTATAGTTGATTTACAATGTTGTGTTAGTTTCTGGTGTACAACAAAGTAATTCAGTTTTATATGTATACATATATATGCATTCTTTCATATTCTTTTCCATTATAGGTTATTACAAGATATTGAATATATTAGCCTGTGCTCTACAGTAGGACCTTGTTGTTTTACCTATTTTATATATAGTAGTTTGTATCTGTTAATCCCAAACTCCTAATTTATCCCTCCCCACCCCCATTCCCCTTTGGTAACCATAGTTTGTTTTCTATGTCTGTGAGTCTATTTCTGTTTTGTAAATAAGTTCATTTGTATCATATTTTAGATTCCACATATAAGTGATGTCATATATTTGTCCTCTATCTGACTTACTTCATTTAGTTTGGTAACCTCTGGGTCCACCCATGTTGCTGCAAATGACATTTTTTCATTCTTTTTATGGCTGAGTAGTATTCCATTGTATTTATATATACCACATCCTCTTTATCCATTCATCTGTCAATGGACGTTTAGGTTGCTTCCGTGTCTTGGCTGTTGTAAATAGTGCTACTATAAATACTGGGGTGCATGTATCTTTTCTAATTGGAGTTTTCTCTGGATATATGCCTGGGAGTAAGATTGTTGGATCATATGGTAACTCTATTTTCAGTTTTTTAAGGAACATCCATACTGTTTTCCATAGTGGCTTCACCAATTTACATTCCCACCAACAGTATAGGAGGGTTCCCTCCACACCCTCTCTAGCATTTGTTATTTGTAGACTTTTTAATGATGGCCATTCTGACTGGTGTGAGATGATACCTCATTGTATTGTTTTGATGTGCATTTCTCTGATAATTAGTGATGTTGAGCATCTTTCCATGTACCTATTGGCCATCTGTATTCTTATTTGGAGAATGTCTATTTATGTCTTCTGCCCATTTTTTGATTGGGTTGTTTGGGGGGGTTTTTGTTGTTGTTATTGAGTTGTATGAGCTGTTTGTATATTTTGGCAATTAAGTCCCTGTCAATCTTATCATTCGTGAATATTTTCTCCCAATCCGTAGGTTGTCTTTTCATTTTGCTTATGGTTTCCTTTGCTGTGCAAAATCTTATAAATTTGATTAGGTCCCATTTGTTTATTTTTGCTTTTATTTCTATTGCCATGGGAGACTGAGCTAAGAAAATATTGCTACGATTTATGTCAAAGAATGTTTTGCCTATGTTCTATTCTAGGAGTTTTATGGTGTCCTGTCTTATATTTGTCTTAAGCCATTTTGAGTTTATGTTTGTATATGGTGTGAAGGAGTGCTCTAACTTCATTGATTTACATGCAGCTGTCCAGCTTTCCCAACACCACTTGCTGAAGAGCCTGTCTTTTCTCCATTGTATGTTCTTACCTCCTTTGTTGAAGATTAATTGGCCATAGGTATGTGGGCTTATTTTTGGGCTCTCTATTCTGTTCCATTATCTTTATGTCTGTGTTTGTGCCAATACCCCGCTGTTTAATTACTGTAGCTTTGTAGTATGTAAGTCTTATGTGGACATAAATTTTTATTTTTATTGGGTAAATACCTAACAGTGGAATTGTTGGATCATATGGTAGTTTTACGTTTATCTTCTTGAAAAATTGCTAAAGAAATTTTCCAAAGTAACTTCACTATTTTACACTCCCACAGGAAATGCATGAGGGTGTTCATTTTAATCTAATTGATTAGATTGTTTATCTTTTTACTGAGTTGTAAGTGATCTTTGTAAATTCTGGCTGTAAGTCCTTTATCAGATAAATATTTTGCAAATATTCTCTCCCAATCTATTGCTTATCTTCTCATTTCTTTAATGAATTTATTTTTCAGAGCAGTTTTAGGTTCACAGCAAAATTGAGAAGAAGGTACAAAGATTTCCCATCTACCCTCTGCCCCCACATGCCTAGCCTCCCCCATTTTCAACATTTCCCACCAGAGTAGTACATATGTTACAATTGATAGACCTATATTGACACATTATAATCACCAAAAGCCCATAGTTTACATCAGAATTCACTCTTGGCGTTGTACGTTATATGGGTTTGAACAAATATATATCTGGTATAATGACATGTATCCACCATTATAGCATCATGCAGAGTATTTTCAGTGTCCTAAAAATCCTCTGTGGTCTGCCTATTTATCCCTCCCTTCCCTGTAACCCCCCTGACAACCACTGATTTTTTTACGGCCTTCATAGTTTTGCCTTTTCCAGAATGGCATATAGTTGGAATCATACAGTATGTGGCCTTTTCTCCCTGACTTCTTTCACTTAGTAATATGCATTTAAGGTTCCTTCATGTCTTTTCATGGCTTGATAACTTTTTTTTTTTTTTGCTGAATAATATTCCATTGTCTGGATGTACCACAGTTTATCCTTTCAACCACTGAAGCACATCTTGGTTGCTACCAAATTTTGAAAATTATGAATAAAGCTAATATAAACATTCCTGTACAAGTTTTTATGTGGGCATAAGTTTTCAGATCCTTTGGGCAAATCAAGGAGCGATTGTGGGATCGTATGATAAAAATGTGTTTAGTTTTGTAAGAAACCACCAAACTGTCTTCCATAGTGTCTGCACCATTTTGCATTCCCACCTGCAATGAATGAGAATTAAGTTGCTCCACATCCTCTACAGCATTTGGTGTTGTCAGCGTTCTGGATTTTGGCTGTTCTCATAGGTATATATTAATGGTGATTTTTGAAATGAAAATTTTAAATTTCAAACTTTGGTGAGTTCCAGCTGGTTATATTTTATTGTATGGACTGTGTTTATAGTGTCGTATCTAAGAAATATTTGCCTAACTCAAGGACTCAATGATTTTCCTCTATGTTTTCTACTGCAAGTTTCATCATTTTAGTTATTTCATTTAGATCCATGATCCATTTTTGAGTTAATTTTGTGGGTAGTGTGAGGTATATATAGGTCTAAGTTCACCTTTTTTGCATATGGATATCCCGTTGCCCCAGCACCATTTGTTGAACAGACAGTCCCTTCCCCAATGAATATTCTTGGCACCTTTGTCAAAAATAAATTGACTATAAATATAATTATTTCTTTCTGGATTCTCAATTCTTTAACATGCATCCCTATGTCTACATTTACTATCTAGATAACTGGAGTCTTACACTAATTTCTGAAATTGGTAAATGAAAGTCCTCCAACTTTATCTTTTTCCAAATTGTTTTGGCCATTTTGTATGTTTTGTATCTTCATATAAATTATTGAGTTTGATTGTTAACTTCTGCAAAAAGTAAAATAAAAATAAAAAATTTTGATAGTGATTAAATTGAAACTACAGATCAATTTGAGGAGAATGCCATCTGAACAGTATTGAGTCTTTCAATCTGTGAGCATGGAATGTATCTCCATTTATTTTTAAAAAGTATTCTTTTTTTATGCTATTGTGAATGGAACTTTATTTTTAATTTCATTTTTGGATCGCTCATTGCTTATAAGCACATATTACTCTTGTTACAAGCCTGACAAAGGGGAACAAAAGGTCCTGGCCCCATTTAGGGGGAAAGGAGGAAAAAACTCAGAAAAATCACAAGTTAATACTCAAATGAATTCATGTGCCATACATGTATGGTTTTAAAATAAAACCCCTATATTTCTTTTTTCTTACTTTCTTGAGCGATAAATACTCATTGTAGAAAATGTGGTTATAACACGAGAGTCACTGGAAGCTGCAGCATCAGGGAGTTGAGTCACATCTGCGCCACATCTTCTTCCATCTGTCTGCATCTGCCTACACACATCAGCCAAGACAGTGCCATTCACTGATTTCCAGATTCCTTTCTTGCCATCCTTTCTACAAAGTATTTTCTTAACAAGTCAAAAAGCTTACTGTGAAGCACATGAGTTCTAGATTGAATCCAAGTTCACCATCCACCAGGGGTGAGACACTGAGGAGCTTGCTTACCCTCTCTGCCCTCCCTCCCTCCTTCCCTTGCTTTCTTCCTTCCTTCCTACTGGATTCCATCTCTTTAGTAAACCCATATCAGACTCTCTGTCTGAAATAACTGCTCTTGAACAGTGTATCTTTTCAGAACCTGTGATGCCAATCTTACATAGTTTCCACACTCTACCTCTGATTTGGGGATAGCATCCAGGCACAGTTTGAGGCAGGCTGCCCTGGAGTGTTAGCTAAGTGCACAATTTCCCAGCCTTTGTGACTTCAGCATCCTTCTCCCATGCTTCCTCTGGGTTCTTGGTCTTCATTTCCACTTTTGCATCTGTGTGCAATGTTTTATTTATTGCATCTTTATCCTGATTGATACATAGATCTGGATTCCTCTAGTATTTTCATGCTAAAAGTCCAATCTCACTCATGTTTTCATGAATTTAATAACTTCATGAAGACACAGGGAGACACACAGAAAGCTTGCCTCATGGATCACAGGTCATCTGCAGTTTTGCTGCCTCATCTCTAATTGTCCTATCTAGGGAGCACCTACAGTATTGCCACATGTCAGCAATGCAGAGAAGGACCTCTGTTCCCCCCCATCCCCAAGCAACACTCTTGTGGGGACAAGGTCTGCCTTCTCTAGCCCTTACAAAATTCTACAAAAATGACAGCAGGCACTTTAATAAGACAGAAAAAAAACAAGAAGGAAAGCACCTGTATCTCTGTTACCCAGAATTCAACATCATTGTTAGAATATTGTAAGAACTTTCCTTCTCATGTGGTTTTTGAATTTTCAGTTATAAAGTAGTATGTGTGATGATTGAGACAAAGCACTTACTTTACTTTGGGGCTTTCTTTGTTTTCATTAATCTCTAAGGTTCAGCCATTTCAGTAATCTACAGATACAAGAAATGTGTGTGCTTGTACTAATTACATTCAAACCTGAGATGAAAATGTTGTCTCCATTTTGAAATCTGTATATTCATTTCTATTATTTAGTCCAAGTTAAATTCTGTAAACATGGGTAAAGATAATTTTATCATAGTATTTTGTGACCCT